CATCTGTCTTTTATATCTATCAATCTGCACCCATCTGTCCCCGCAGCACCCTCTGCACCCTTCCCTCCAGACCTCCTCAGTGCCTGCTCATCCCTATCACACAGCTCCATCAGATGCAGACCGGCGCTCCAGCGAGAAGCCATGCAACCATCCAAGTGAACATAATCAATTCCGCCTTCGATGGAGCACAATGCGAGCGTTACGGCCCCTCACCCTGCCATCCATCCGGCCCCCCCCTCACCCCGGCAGCAGCAGGCTGTGCCACACAGATGGGCCTCTGCTCTGCCATGAAATGAGCTCCGTTTGTGCGCTGTACATATTGTGTATGTATTTCTTTTTGACACACACCAGGTGAAGGTGATGACAATGTGTGATATATTCAGGTGGGGATACAGATGAGTCCTCAGGAGACAAACTGGTGTGGTTTCGCCTTCCTGTCCGTCAAACTGAGGTGGTTCTGCTGTCTGCTCGTGTCAATCACTTACATGGCCACCAAAGGATAACAAGGATAATACTGATGCTTTTTCAAGTTGTCGTGGTTTCCAGTTTGTCTCCACTCAGTCAGCATAGTTGGAGAAATCAGGCTTTGTTTTTATTTTTCTTCAGAAGAAACTGCTTGATGCTATTTCTTGCTGCTACTACCAAGGCTTTTACATTTCCTGAGCTGGATAATCTATCACAGAACATTTGCCTTTGTTCAAACGTCCCTTTTATTTTTGATCTCATTGTGACCAAATTGATTGTTTTCATATCAGAGAATGCACATTGGACCTAATGTTATTTTAGGCTCACTGGCTGAAAGTGAAAAAGCTGAAAATGTTCCTGTCACGATGTACAGTACTTTACAAAGTAGGATAATTATGTTTTTCCACATTTACTGACATGAGTTTTTAGAAAAGCGCTATACAAGTCTCATCTATTATTATTATTATTTTTTGGGATTTTATTATTTTGTTGTCGCTTCCAATCTTCTACACCAGGGGTTTTCAAAGTGTGGGAAGGTGAGCCTCCCCTCAGAGAACATAAGAACAGCCGCGCCCCCCCCTCCCAATTATTATTGCTATTATTATTATTATTGCTATAATGCAGGGGTATTATTATCCAGTGGAATGCCCTTACCTACTGGCCTAGTTCAATCAAAGTGGTTACTTTCTTTTGGCTGGGCAGTGTAGTTTGTACTTTCTCAGGACTTACAACTTTTTTTTGGGGGCAGACCCCCACAAAGAAAAAAAAATATTTACACACGTAAGGTCATCATCTTAACAGTTTGTTATGCTCATCGAGTCATCCGTGAGCAGATCATCAAGTTGGCATGCTTATAACAGCTGAATGCAGCGATTACCATTCTGTTCAGCAAAACGCCTCACAAACGTATTAAGATCTAAAGCTTTAGTGCGTTTTGATTCAATGCTGAGTGCAGCCAAACTTGACAGTCTCTTCTCTGTCATTGTAGACCGCAAATACCTAATTCCTTCCGTCTACTTGGGTCCGAATGCTTCTCGTTTTGCGCCGTCCCCCCGTTAAAATGAAATCGCAGCCAATCACATTTCCGCGTCACAGGCTCGCGTCTTGTGCTGCATTCACTTGCACTCGGACATTAGAGATTTTCTCTCATAAATGTCCGATGAGCCACAACTTTTATTTCAAAACAAAGCTGCCAACTGAGGTGGCAGCTGGGGTGGCAAGGCTATTGTTAGGGTGGCAGTTGCCACCCCGGTAGATCCGCCCCTGCTTGACCGGTACTTGCTTTTGATCAAAGTCAATGTGGAAAACCCGCACTCACACAGGTAGGCGGAGGTGAAGGGAATGAGCACTTTTACAGCCTTTTTGGCGAGGTGGGGGAACTCTGTCTCCACAGACAGCCAAAAGTGTGCAAGTGACATTTTCTGCCAAACGCTGTCTCCTCTCTCACTTTAGGTAACTTCACTAAAAATCGATCCATGTTGCCGCTCACATAAAGTTAGCTGAAGTTAACTAGCTAGATTTCACTGTTTCTCGTTATCTTTTTCTCATGCTGCGCCTCCCCCTGAAGCTCTCACACTTTGAAAACCGCTGTTCTACACTAACAGAAAAGTAACTCACTAAAACTGAAGTCTTCACTAGCACAAAGTTGGCATTCAAAACATTTAAATATATTAGTGACTTAAATATTGTAGGGCCATCATAAGTTCATTATTATGAATATATATATGATGTAGTACCTGCAATACTAACTCAATTTAGCCTCAGTTAGCATTTAGCACAAGCATAGCGCTTCATCAATGGCAAATGTGAGTATCTTTGCACTTCCTGATCCCATCTACTCTACTTCTCTTTCTACGATATGCAATAAATCTGTAAATACTCCCCTCTCGAGTTTAAAAGCGTAACGCATCTCAGAAAAGCATGTGCATGTGGCTAAATGAGAAAACTTAACCTCATAATGCCAAACACTAGTCATGTGACTGTGGTGTAGTTTGTTGATATGCTAATGTAAGCTATTTACTTTTACATTACTGTACTAAATATATATTTTATTCCTATTTTATTTCTAAATAAATGGGTATATTTCAAACATATTCGATCTAAATATTGCTATATGTTTTATGTTATTATAGTTTTCTTAAAATTGTTTTTAATCAATGTTTTAATTATTTGTATGTTTATGTATACACCAAAAACACCAAGACAAATTCCTCGTATGTGTTAACCTAATTGGCAATAAACCTGTTTTTGATTCCGATTCTGAAATAGACACCTGTGAACAATTTTTAAGATGATTTAAAGAACATGTAAGCAGAGATGGGGTCGTTACTAAAAAAAAGTAATATATTACATATTACATATTACTTTAAAAAAAAGTAATATATTACACTACTTCGTTACTCTCTACATAAAGTAACTCGTTACTTTACTCGTTACTTTACTCGCAGGGCCGGCCCGCCCCTCCCTACAGGCAGATCACGCAGACTGCTAAAGTTTCAAATGTTCTCTTTAGTTCAGTTTCCATTGTCGCATAAGACTGATCCAGATAGCTCTGACCATGGCTGTCCTCTGTCTCCTGCTATCTGTATTTTGCGCAGTATATCTCTGAACGATGCGATGGTGATTCCACTGTGCAAATGGGCAACATTACCTCTACTATGAAGGATGCTACAAGCCTGTCCATCTCTGCTTTGGTTACCGGTCCTCCAAATTCTAATTTGTGCTGCTTCGGAGTCGGCGGCGGCGACTCACAACATCCTCACTCTGGGTTCGGGGGTCCGGTCCTTAGCTATTAGCTTCACCTTAGCATGTGTTCTTTGCAGGTGTTTGTTGAGGTTTGACGTGGTGTTTGCAGCAGTGTATAACAGCTTCTGGCCTGGACACAGTTTGCACCTCACCGTCACATTCCTGTCTATTCTTCGGACGAACTCAAAATAATGGGCATACCTCCACCCCTCGAAAGTTATCGCTGACTCTGCCATGTTTATGCAGCACTGCCCGTGGAGATGTGGCAGATTAGTCGCGCAGATTACGTACATATAAACCTGCGGCGGAAACCCCTCTTGTCTGTCAGTGTGATTATGACTGATTTTATAAAAGTAACGAAGTAACGCGTGTCGGGGCAATGTTAGTAACTGTAGTGTGATTACTGAATTATAAAAGTAACGCGTTACACTACTCCGTTACCGACAAAAGTAATATTATTACAGTTACTTTGTAACGCGTTACACCCAACTCTGCATGTAAGACTGCGCTTCCCAAACAGTGTTGAGAAAAAGCAAAGAAATGCAAAATACGTAGTTTTGGTAAAAGAAAGTATTGATTAAAGTTGAAAAAATCCAACAAAGGATCACAAAGATATGTTTTCCCTGAGCCATACTATGAATAAGGATTCTAACACTATCACACATTGCTTAACCACACACCTCGCTCCTGTCCACTCGTGGCACTGCTGACACATCTGAGGCCTGTCACCCACACAGCAGATATCTCCCTGCTCATAAATCAGCGGTGTACTGTACGTTAACTTCCACAACCCCGGCACACTATGCACTCCCCGAAGGAGGGAGCTCTGTCACAATTTTCTGAGGAGCTCGGTGTGCTGTGTAGTTATTTCTCTGCCCAGAAACTGATACATATAATTATGACGGCGAAACGCATGGGGAAATGGTGGGGTAGGTGACACGTCGATGTTTACTCTGTACAGCTGCTGTCAGCGAGCAGGGAAACAAGGCGTGGTGTAAATAAACACGGTGAGCAGTAGTCGCACCTTTTGAGCTCAAAGGAGAGGAAAGTAAATCTTACGTAAGAAGAGACAAAAAGAAAAAGGGGAAGGAAATAAATGCAAGGAGGTCCAGAGTTACTTTTCCACCAGAAATATTTGGAGAACTGGTAAATAAAAACTTTGTAAAGCGTCTATAAACAATATTTAGATCGAGTTATCAATGATTAATAATTAGATTATTGTAAAACTATCTATGTAATGTTTAACAAACTATTTCTTACTTTATTACAAATCATTTCCCCCCCATTAACCAACAAAAAAACACTATAACGTGCACCAAGAACATAGTTTACTAATGTATTCAAACACTATTTAATTTGGAAACATATATTTCATATTACCCAAGCTTGTGATAAAATGATAACAAAATTAAATATATTGCTTCACTATAATTCATAAGCATTTAAAAAAGAAAACTTCTAGTGTTTTGTGAGAAAACCTTTCTGCTGGGAACATTGTTATTCAAGTTTCAGTTAATACAAGCTAAAAACAACTAAAAATACTAAGAGTTGGCTTGAGAAAACAACTTATTTGTGTCAGAGACATTTAAATGAGGAACTGTCTGACTGTAACTCTTACACTACACTTGCGCTAGCCCATGCTCTCATTTCACTACCACATAAAAAATTCAAGACCCTGTTGCATAAATCCAAGCATTGTTAAATATAGCAAGGGCTCCCAGACATAGGACTTCAGTGCTGCTGTTATCACAGAAGGCATTACACAGGCTTACAGCAACATATCATCTGACCTCATTCGTTCCTGTGAGTCCTCGTGCGCCCTCAGATTGCAGTCTGCTGGTTACCTGACTGACATGAGAGGAAGTCAGCAGGCGGCAGAGTGTGCTCCATCTCTGGAATCGACTCTCCCCGTGTGATTAGGGAAGCAAATTCTGCGGAAGCCCTAAAATCCAGACTCACAGTTTATCTTTTTTCCACTTCCTGGCAGGGGAGTTTTACAGTTCCTTCTTCTACCTCAGCTCAGCATTAATACAGAGCCCAGTTAGGGCTGCCTCCTGGTTACTGCTATATGTGTTTGCGTGCATGTGGCTGGATTTGTTATGAGTATGTGTGGGGCTCTGCTCATCTTTTTCAGACCTGGTATAATGGTACTGGCAGTGAATACAAATTGTCAAGGTGCTGAATCCACCGCTGTATGCTAAGTCATATCTCGTTGTCATGACATGTTTATCTAGCTGGGGTTACTGCTGGGGTTACATTGGGATTTTTGAGGAGGGGGATAGTCCAATGAGGATAGAGGTTGTTCCAGCAAAATACACTTTTCACAGTGTTGATAGAGACTATTATTTTCAGTAGTAGGTACTTCTGGTAAAAACTGGACTCTATGAGCAAGGTTTTTTGAAAATTAATAATGCCAAGAGATTTATTTTTATTTGTTGTATGCTGCTCAACAATCTAAGGGTAACTTTTAGGCCCAGTAAAATAAATAAATAGTGTTTTCATGATAGGAAATATTATATTTTCTCCCTTTTTATTTGCTTTAAATGATCATATAAGTTCCACGCTGCAAATACAGCAGCACATCTGAAAACTCCCACCTTACACTGCGGAAGAAAATATTGAGATTTTCCAGAAGAAAACGCAATATTTTGACTTTTCAAACACATAAAGATATCCTGGCAGCGTTGACAGCGCTGTACTCATCCTGAGCATGGATGTTTTTTCCCTTTATAACTTAATTGTACAAACATGGAGTCTCTGAGCAACAGCTTACCTTAGCATTCCAATCAATAAGACTATCTCAAGATCACAATATCAGATTAGAAGATTTGAATAATGAATCAAGTTGCTGTGCCGCATGCAGACATTACGCACAACCCTTCTTTCAATTTGGAGACACAAGAATCGATCCTGCCACAGCTATTTAATAAAGTTAACGGATAGAAGCTTCTACATTTGATCGGTCGGTGTGAACAAGTGTTGAACAGAACTCTAAAGGCCGGACGATTAGAAACAAGTATTTTCTATGTCCATGGTGCATTGTTAAACTGCTAAAAGTAAACACTAGCTCAAGGTGTTAGTATAAATATAGAGATGGTTTATGTTGCTTGGCAGTTGGAAACTCCTGCTTTCTGGCTTCAGCAGACACCCTGAGAAACAGTGGCAAAGAAGCTAAAGGTAGGAATTAAGGAAACAATGGGAAAAGTTGGGTTCAGCCGAGTTAATGCACAGTAAGACCTTGGTGTCACCGGAACAGAAAGCTCTCAGCAGGACTTATTCTGCCATACAAAGGTCTGCGTCTTCCCATTGTGCTTTAAGACAGCTGCTTATTCCGTCTTCGCTTTCCGACAGTTCTTTCACAACAACTCCCTGAAAGAATGTAGACCCGAGATATGTGACATTTTCAACGTTTTCACTGCATAATTACTTTCAGTTCAGCGCTAAAAGCAGCTGCTGCATCTATGAGACTCATTTTATCTTTGGTTGCGTACATTCTGAAGTCCTGATGTTGTATCCATATTCAAAAGTGCCGTGTTTAGCTGCTCACAGAGAGATAAATACCTGCCAGCTCCAGTGTGATTTGTCAAAGCAATTTATGTTTTGGTGGGAGTCTATTCCTCGTCTCAAACAAGCCAAACTACACAAGATTTTAAATAGATTCTGTCAAAGAACACTCTTTTACATCATAAAATAGGTTCAAGAATGCTAATTCTCTTAGCATTTCCCAACAAATTTGAAAGCTCAAGTTAGAAAAATGCACATATTTTTAGAATATACTTTGGGTTGTCTTTGATTTGGCCATAAACGTTCAGTTGAAAGTGTGATAAGGAAAAATGGTTTTGGTTTGGACCGTTGACTGCCATTCATTCCTGTCTGCCCTTGTGAGCTAAAGGTAAGTATTTAAGATAAGTGGCTTAGCCTGATTACCGTTTAATAACTAAGAGGTGTCATAATTACATTTCCATCAATCACGCTACCCCGCCTCTAACAAATGTCTGAATCATCTGAATCATTATGCAAATGAATAAGTAATATTCTCTGAATAAATTGGTCTATTACCCCGAGGTACATGCTCTATCTGGTGCAGCTCAGTGGCGCCGGATAGTGTGTGTCTTTAAAACACGCCCATGTGTGTAACTGATGTGATTTAATTGCGGTGTGGACGTTTTTTCCACTTCTGAGACAACTACATTGGAAGTTTTTTGCGCCACTGAACTGAGAAAATCAAACACGAGGGAAAAAACATGCAGGCGAAATAAATAAACATGGTCCTCTGCAACCTTTTGGTTATCAAAAAAAGAAGAAGTGGAAAACTGCAGTCATTACAGCTGAGAAGTTAGAACACTGTTATTAGAGCTGAGAAACTTTTGACGGCTGAAGCTTCAGGAGCATGAAGGAAGAGTAGAGAGAAAAAATAGGGCACGAAAATATCAATATGAGATATGAGCGATGGTGGGTGCTCCCTCCCTTTAAAATGCTGGTGGCGGGAGCCACTCAATATTCATCGATTTGAGACACTGCGTCGGCGGGAGAGAGAGCTGACGCGTCGTGAGAATGCTCCTCATCGAGTTCCCCTTGTTTTTCTAACCCCACAAATAAGTTATTTTGTCTACAAGGCAATTTATTTCAGAGATAAAACAGCCTGTGGGTTATCCCGATCCCGGCAGCGCCTTTTGCCTTTGCTTCTTGTTTTGATTTTGTCTCTTAAGCATGGGGTGTAAATTGAGGTAGTAAGCCTAACCCCGATTGGTTCCGCTCTTAAGTGTTCAAAGACAAAGAGAAGAGGTGGATGTTTGAGCTGTTTCCCACATTCTCACATTCTCAATAACTTCTATTCGCTAAGGCAGGTGAAGGTGCCGCCACATCTCACTGTCTGTACTGTCTTTATCTCCATTTCAAGGGCCTCTGTCGTACACTCTTATGCTAATATAAAGCAGCCATATTCAAACCCCCCCATATCAGAAATCTACATACGACACAGCACGTAGCCTCTGCAAGGGAGATGGAATTTAACTTTGTCTTTCTTTGATTATCGCTGGATGTTAGCTCTCTATCTGTGGCCACCAGCTAAGCTCCTCAGCTGCTCCTCTGCATAAAAGGCACACAAACACACACAATACAAGTAGTGGAAAGAACAAAAAGTGTGTAGGAATGTGCAACAAACACACACTGCGCTTAGCTGTCTGTCTTTCACTTTTCTTTCTCTTATCAGTCACTGCGTTTCAAAGTAAAGAATCTCAGCTTTCACATAAAAGGAAGAACTTTCACACCTTCCACCTGCTTCTTCCCTCTCTGCTGCTCACTCACTCGGCATTATCCCTCTTGATTGCGCTCGTGCCATCTGCTAGATTAATTGATCAAAAAGGCTCCGAATGTTCCTCGATGTTTGCTTGATTGAATTTGGGACAGCCGGAGCCTTTTTTTTTTCAACTTCCCGAGCGCCTCGAACACTTACCCCTCTTCCCTCTGCTGTTTTCATTGTCACTCTCTTTTATATTGCTCTACATTTTAACACCTACACACTTTGTAATATCCTAGATAGTATATCACACAGGGGGGGAAAACGACATTTATGTAGCGAGGAGAAACTGATTCGCTCAAAGCCAACCAAAAAATGTGACTGTAGGGAAAGTTGAAGATCTTATCAAATAAGTTTTTTAGTTTTCTTGAAAAAATAAGTTGCTTTAAGGGCTTGTGCCACATCACATGCTGCTTGTTCTTTACGGGGCATGCACTGGCTATTCTAAACGCCAATACAAATACCCTGAATCAAGCAAGAACTGGGACTCCCATGTGTTTTTGTATCGGCATGTGCATCTGAGCATTCACTACTTCCTTTTTTTTCTAGCATGCCATTTCAAATGTACCTGCATGTGTGTTGGTACTTTGTTAAACTGTTGTTGTTTCTGCCAGATAACCCCGCTGTGAGCTTCTGTGTAGCACGAGGCTCGGATATCAAACAGCAGCTTTGCATCTGTTGGACCTGAGAGCGAACACCATGCTGGGCTGCTTTACTGAGCTATAGGCGCACAGAGACAAACATAAATAACAATTTACATGACCTCTTAGACGCAAAGTGGCTCTTCTGGGGGGTCGACCCTATGAACACACTACGCCGCCCCTGATGCTATTTAATGAGTTCATGTTGTTGGAATTTGAAATGTGTATGTTCATTCTTCTCTTCAAGAAATGAAGAGATTCACCAGCACATAGCATTTAAGCATTTTCACTCCCAGTACAGTAAGATTGAGGTTTGTTTTTAGGCCAAAGACAAGCTAATACAATATTTATATATATATATTCAAATAAGGGGCCCTATTATGCTTTTTTCCTGTAGTGTGCTATATAGGTTATTTTGCATGTAAATGGTCTGCAAAGGCTAAAATCCCAAAGTTACCTCCAGAGAGAGTTTGTCTCCCCTCGCCTCAAAACATCTCCATTGGACTCCTTTGTATACTTTCATAAAATAGTGACATCACTATGTAACACTTACACTTCTATTGGCTAGCGCTCCAACACATTGTACGTGTTAGGACATCACTGAGCAGATGACCAATCACAACAGAGCCGGCCAGCTAACCAATCAGAGCAGACTGGGCTCTGGTTTCAGACAGAGGGTGAAAACAGGTGCTGCAGCACAGGCAGTATGAGAACAATAAAATAATTACATTCCGTCAACGACACATTTTCTTTCACTACTTCACTAACTTTCTTTAAAACTTGCATGTTCCTACTTTTCACACAGGGCTGTCTAACATCATGGGAAAAACATATGCAAATGTTGATTTAGTTTGTTGTTTCCTTTCATGTCTTGCCAATAAAAGTGCCAGGTTGTTGACAGAACAAAAGGAAAAATACGGGGCGTATC